AACGCCCAATAGCCTTTCTCGATTCTGGGAAAAAGTATAAACAATATATGCAATACCTTGAAATTTCTTCCATGATGACGCAGTGGTCCGAGTACTTTCCTCCTGTACCGCCATACTTCGGGTCTGCCGTTATTCCTACCAAAATATAAAATGTTCAGTACCTAAATATTTGTCGCCTGAAATGTCGTAGTGGCTCGGAGGTTTTAAACGCCTGCTGCGCTGCGAGTTCGACACCTAGCAAACTCAAGTACCAATGTGACTTTTTCCGAATTATAATTATGTTATTTAGACACCACTGACAAATGGTGAAGGAAACATCGTGAGGAAACCTGGACTTAAAATTTCTAACCTAACCTAATTTGATACTTTATAATAATTTGTTTGTTTGTTACGTCTTCACGTCTGGTTACTCCAGGTATGACATACTAATTTTTGGGTTGCTATATTGATATTTATTAAATTTGCCGGGCTTTTTCAATCTCTACTTTCGTTTGCCAGACTCTATAAGTATATCATTGTCGTTTTGGGGAAGTTCGAAAGTACCTCTCAGGGTAAGACTATACTTTAGGAAAATATGAAACTTACCTAACAATCCCAGTTCTCCGCATTTTTTCCAAAAATCCCTTAGCTCTGGAAAATTGTTGTTCTTGTCTATATCCCCCGCTTTTGGCGCCAACTCTTTTTGTGCGAAGTCAAACACGGACTGGCGGAGCTGAAAGATAAGGGGGCGAGATGTTTACTTTTTAAGATAACAGCTCAATTTTGTTTTGAAACATAAATTACAGAGAGAAATATTTTTACGTAATATTTAATAGAAAAATAAGGGTATGTTTACAACATATGAATTTACGTATAGGCTATAGGACACTAAAACTCAGAACAACAATTTGTTATGGAACTTGCTGCACGAGCACAGTAGCCATTTATTCGCCCAGTTTCTGTAGATATATTATTTGTTATTGTATAATTTATTGCGTCATTTCTGTTATTTTGCAGAGATAGGGGTGTGTCTTTTGCACTGGACGTCATTCCTAATTATTATTTCATCTCATCTCTTCCAAACTAGAAGGCAGTAAGCAATACTTACCGACTTTCTCCACAATAGACCCGTGTCTAAAGTAGTCTAAACATTATCAAACTAGAAGCTACCAAGAAAAAATTACATTTAAAATGACCAGGGGATTCTGACTCTATTTGTTTTCTTTATTTTTGTGAAACGTTTCTGCTAGACAAGAGGAACACTCAAAATAGATAAATATGTATAAGGTAAATATCTTATAAAATGTAGCAATAAAAAAAACAAGCTTGGGTAATACATAACTACCAAAAGTTACTATTTTAAGTCACATACTTATCTGAATACTACATAAACAAGATTCCACGATAGCTATCATTATTCATTACTTACTAAAACAGCTCTACCGCTCTGCCGATATCATGAATGAGTATCGCAACTCACACGCACAATACAATAATCATACAAAATTCATGAGCAGTACGGGGTCAAACGTTTTACAATAAATTGAACTATTCCTTACATTCCAATACACAAGAAACTCTTCATATCAACAAAGAAATATTACGACACATTTTATTATCATGTTTATTCAAGTCCTCTGTCCATAATTAAAAAATAAACTTACTTGTTGTTGTTCCGCAGTAAGTCCAAACACATGTTCGTCTATTGGATAGTGTGACATGCATCGAGTACCGGTTTTACCTGTACATTTACGTAAAATATTCACGCCTAGTCGGACAGCCATCGTAACAACCTGCCGTGTATAAAGCTAACTCGATACTGCACGGAAACAAACGGACACAAACCAACCCATTATCATTGAATGTATATCATTAAAATTATACTCTCCACTCTGATAATAAAGACGCAATTCCTTTGACAAACAAGATAACGTGAAGGATTACGATAATTACTCATTTCGTTGTTGGTTTTTGATAAAAATGTGTTTTTTTTTTATAATAATAGTTAACATGGAGAACTGTATGATCGTGATTGGTTGCCAGGGCCATTATAAATTTAATGATAAGTTACACACGTAAAGTTTATAGTTTGCATTTCAATATATCATTAATAGTTCAGTATCGTATTGATTTAAAAATTAAATCAGCAATTATAAATATTTAGTCAATTGACTAAAATCAGCCTATTACATATGAACTTTCGTTTCAAAATTTGGTTATTCGAAAATATGCCATCGAATATTATACTAATGGAAAAATAATTACTTGGAAAGTAATTATTTAATGATGATTCCATTCCATTCGAAAATTCCATGATGTCGGTTGGAGTCTCCATTAGTAAGTAAACAATATTTTAAAGATATAATACTTAATGTAAAATATTTAATTTCATCTTTTAATTGAAAACCAAACCCAAAACGTGTTAGAAGATAACCTTATCAGCAGTGATAGAAAAAGCAATCACTATACATTAAACAACGTTATCTAAAAATCGCAACATATCTAAAATCACACAGCAGTTTTCGAGATTACTCGTAACAAACTGACCGATTAAATAGCATTATTATAAATATGAATAAAACGCAAACTTAATATCACTTTTATATTTATTTTACATTAACTTTAGAAGCACCTTTATTTACTAAAATTACAACAATTTATTATAATTAAAATTCTTATATATTAACAATACGTCCCTTCACATGATTGTATAATGATTACGTAATATAAAAACAATACATAATAATATAATTAATGAAAATAAATTGATCTTTTACATATTACGTCAAAATCTTTATGTATATAAGTAATTAAACTTCAAATAATATAATTAAAACAAATAATATTAAAATATCTAAATAAAAATAAGTTATGTCATCTAAAACTGCAGAACGGCTGGGCCGATTATCATAATATTGAATTAATCATGATAATGATTTGTTTTAAAAATAATTTTTCAATAAGTTTCCATGAAATCAATAATAAATATAATGTCAGGTAATTGTTATTGTCTTGTGTAATAATATTACGTACTATTGAAGTAATATTTGTGTAAATATAAATAAAAGAAATGCATTAACTTACTATAGTAGAGTAAGTTCAAGGAATGTATGAATCAGGAATAATTAAACACGTATACATAATGTAACTATTACAAAAATATATTGCACAGAATATTATGTCGATTTCATTGCACATATTTAGATTTTTAAGTACACCCCACCCGTAAATGGTATACACAAAATACGACCTTATTTTGAATAAAATAAAGAGTGTTATCCCATACGGATGGGTAAAAAGGAGAAATAAATAAAATGATATGTCAATGTACGTAGTTTGAAAATAGAATGTACGTATCGCCTTATAGAACCTTCATGTTGATTTTAAATCTCACTTGTATAATAAAGAATTATATTCTAACTTATAAAGTACTCATACTATGTTGATTTTACCAGTAGTAGACATAATCCTATTGTTAGGAGCTGATTATTATGGTCAATGAACACAATAGACTTTGATGGTAATAAAATTATCTTCATTACTTTGTCCGGACTGAGGATCTAACACCCGAATATTGTGGCCTTAGTACGAGTTTATTTTCGTTAAAAGTACGTATTCGAAAAGAGTTCGCGTTCGGCACTATGATTGGCCGGCGCCAATGAACCAACCAATCACAGCGCCGACCGCGTACTCGTTACGATTACTTTAAACGTAAAATAAACTCGTACTAAGGCCTCTGAAACGTTACTCAATTTTAAATTGTACGTAAATATCGTGCCATCTCTGTCATTTTACAAAGAATAGGGATGATGACAGGGTATGAAAATTAAAAATCTAATTAGTCCGTCAGTTAGGTAATGAAAAAATATTAGACACGTATTTTTTTTATTTTGTTGTACAATAAAATAATACTTAGATATATGTCGGAATACTGAAACGCTACTCAATTTTAAGTCGTGCTTAAGTATAGTTCTATCTCTACAAATTCTTTGTAAAATGACAGAGATGGCACGATAATTGATCACGACTTAAAATTGAGTAACGTTTCAGTATTCCGGCAATAATTAATTAAAGTTTAGGAGTGGGGACTGAAACGTAATTTCTAAGTATATTTTATACATAGAAGTGACGTCACGCGACATTTGAAATCAATACATCGTCGAAACTATTCGTTTCTGTAAAAAAATAAAAAATACGTGTGCAATGTTTTAAAATAATCTACCAAACGGACATTAAAAGAAAGATTAGTCATCTACCCTATTTGTGGTGACAGACCTGTACTTAAGCGCGACTTATTGAGTGGCGCTTCAATATTCGTGCATACGATTACCTCAGTAACAACTCACTTGACTATTAAGACAAAATAAAATTAAAGATACACAAATACAATTTTATGTGTATATATTTCATAGATGGAGCTCAGTTTTATGTCCAGCATTGGACGGAAACGAGTTTATCGTTCGACATTTCTCATTTAAAAACTTCTTGGTGTCTATTTAACAAAGTAGAACTCCCTTCAGCGATTATGAAAAAGTTGTGCTATTTGATTTTGGTCCTCCACGAATAACAATTAATCAAGTGAGTCAATGTTAAGTACGTAAAGTAATGTACAGGGTACGATGGGGCTGACATATCTGTGATAAAAGCCCCTAAATAGTTTGTTAGAAAAAAAAAAAAAAAAAAGTAGAACTCCATCGTAACATATCCTCACCTTTCAATCTCCACAAGGATTGGCAGAAGTGTAATCTAACACCCACTTATCACCAATAGGGTCGTTGCTTAAATTTAATTTGAATGTCCGTCTGGTAGATTAATTTAAAACATTAGACATGGATTTTTGCTTTTCCCACAAAATTAAATACTTTCAACGATATGTTAATTTAAAATATCGTGTGACGTCACAATCCGCTACATTTTGTAGCACTTTGTGACGTAACGGCCTCCCACTCCTAAACTTAACTCAATTTTATCTAAGTATTGTAACTTTATACTTGAAAATAAAAAAATATGTGTCTAATATTTTTTCATTATCTAACTGACTAATTAGATTTTTAATTTTCATTCCCTGGCAACTACCCTATTATGTTATGAGTACCAATGGGGAAAGAACTTGTTGCCAGCATAACATTAACTTTTATTCCATAAAAGAGTACTGTAGGCGTGTCATATACACTGCAATTGTCCACGTTACGAGCTCCAATGTTATAGACCATAATTATTATTATTAATTTACAACCGACGCATCAAAAAATCAATGCTTCCTTATTTAAAAATAAAAGCGAAATATCTTATTTCTCTATAACCTAGCGTTACGTTTGAGGCCATTATAATTGTGACAGTAAAATAATACTTATGTTAATTTTACTTATTAGCTGCTTGTAATTTGTTTAGTTGGTGTCCATCTTGGATTTCAATGATTGGTAGTATTCGGAGAGCACTTTCCATGCTGTGGGTGCCATGAAGCCCTTCGGCGGCTCCTTGCCGGATTTGGCAAGACCTAGAAAATATTTATTACATGAAATATTTATTGGAGAAAATATTTAATAGTTATTTAGATGACGTAATATTTCTAAGATGTATAATAATGCGTTTTGATAATAATGTTTAGTTGTTAAATGAAATAAATAGATTTTTATCGAGATCAATGTTTCAAATATTCTTAAAACAAACATTGATACAATATTTTCGCCATTAAACTAAGACAGTCAGACAATAAAGTTCAATTTTCAATGTAACAATAACGAACATGAACAGTAGGAGTTACCTCGCATCCTAGTTCCGGAAATGAAGTCGAAATCTTCCTTGCGAGTGGGGTCGAAGAACGCCATCTTGCCGACAGACGTGTCGTACGCAGCCACGCGGAATGGAATGATCTAGAGAAAATTCATTATGTTATATTTCCATCTAGCTTGTCATAGAGAGATCATCTCGACAGTATTAAGTGCCGTAGTTTAACTGTAAGGCGATATAAACAATAATAATTAATAATATCTCCTAAACCACTTCTTAGACTCCCTTTATATTCTCAACTGGTATAATTTTTTACTTCCTATCAAATCCTATGATTTGTCGTCCACTTCATACCATAACTTTGTTAAGGCGGTGTGCTATTAAAACATGATTAGCGCATAAGAGAGCACGAATGAATCGACGTAAAACATCTCTTGTGTTGTTTCGCTATTGAGTGAGATTTCCGGAGGCACAACACCCTCTCAAAGCTCGCAACACCAATAAAAAATGCGATCATGCGATGATGCGCCTGCGCATCTATTAGGATGCAGGGTAAACAGGACGATTACCTTACACTTTCTTAGTAACCGAAGTTAATTAAATTTTCTTAACCCTTATACTTAGTTCATGAAACATACCTCAAGTTCATTAAGTCCGGGCGCCATCTTGAGCACCATGGCCCCGTGGCGCGGGTCGTACAGGTCCCCGCCGCCGGCCGGGTGCGGCAGGCCGGCCGGGTCGCGCCCCACGATGTAGTGGTTGGCGCCCGCGTTCATACGGCACTTCGCGTGCCATTGGACCTGCGTGATGGAGTTTGTTATAGACATTTGTTGACATGGTCAAATTGGGTATTATTGGTGCAGACAAACATAGACAACAGGGAATAGACTTGATCTGATAGTATAATCTAAATTGAATTTGAAGAATTTTACTGTAAAAGTTATACTCTTTGGCACCAATATAATAACAAGCTAAGTAGTATTTCTAAATTTTTATACAGGATGTCTATTTCTCTTTATACTGAATGAAAACTTTGTTTCCTATTTTTATTTTAAAATGTTTGAGATCATTAGTGATTCAAACTCAACAATATTTCTATGAAAAATAAAAAGCAAATGAAATTTTATGTGCCTACGTTAAAAAATAACAATAGCTCACCTCAGTGGGTCCAGCATACATCATGGGTGATGGGAAGATGGCGAGTACAGTAGACTGCGGGTCGAGTACTCCCTCGTTGAGCACGGCCTTGTGCTGGTTGATCCTCACGTCTAGAGGAACATCGTCATCCTTTGTCCACCCACCTGAGAAGAATTAAACATTTTAACTAATCAATCCCCAAGCGGTCACCGGTGACCATTCTCCACTAACACCATTATAGACCTTCTTTCCGATATTTAGAGACTACTTTTGTATGAACAAATTTTGGGAATGTATATCAAGTGAGTTGTTTAGAGCAGCTGAAGAAGGTGGCAATGTATGGGATAAATAAATAGGTATTATTGTGTTCCTGAATAATAATAGTGGCTTTTACAGTTCCTTTCATCATTCATGAATATAAATTCGATAATTTTTGAATAGTTTGCATTCAGACAGACAACGAAGAAGTTACAAGTTTTCTTACTTTTAAATGGAAGCGTTTTACCTACCAATAAAACGCATATTAATTTACTTACCTTATTCGAAGCTTATTTAATTGAGATAGGCCTTCTGCTTCCCTCCTTCCGCTTTTTCTATATGTCTATCTCTTTCTACTACGTCACTTCCACTTGGCAGTGGTGGGGAGTCTTGCTAAGCGAGACTCGCCATTTTTATTTCATTGAGTCTCATTACCAGGCAGAGCTTGACTATAAGCTTCGAATAAGGTAAGTAAATTAATATGCGTTTTATTGGTAGGTAAAACGCTTCCATTAATTTGACTTGACCGTTATTCGAAGCTTATTTAATTGAGACGTGTTTGTTATCGCCTGGTGGAAGTGACAGACGCCAATGTGAGGTAGTATGACTGCGTTGACCGCATTCGTACTACCTGGTATGATGTGGTAAAATCACAGAATAGAAAAACTAAGTAAAAACATATACATGTTTTGATGAAAGGCATTGAATAGAAAACCTGTTATTTTTAATTTTTCAATAATAATTGTATTTGATCTGAACAAAAACAGATGTTATATATTTCTGAGGTATTTTATTACCTCGTTTCTAATTTTCTGATTGACTGGATTGAATAAAAAGGTGACATACAAAGGCACACACATCTTAGGATCGCCTCAAAAGGATAACTATCCACTCAAATTTTTCAAGTCACAGCTGATCTGAAACCCTCAGGATGTCTTGGGGGATTACTGATACCTTAATATCGGTTACCACCAAAAAGGGACTTGATCCTGACCGCAATTACAGTTTTCTATGCCGGTTTAATTTTACGTCTAATAAAACAAAACTATAACAATTTGCATTATTTCCAAAATTGACACAACATTACAGCTTACGCTATTAAGTTATGCCTCTTATGGTATGCTTAGTCCATTGGACTGGATCTAAGCTTTAGAAATATGGTATACAGGCAGGGTATAGTCCGACTGAGGTGATAGGATGCTTTTTATCCCGATTAAATGCTCCCTTGGTAGAAACACACGGGCAAAGTCGGGGGTGAAAGCTAGTTTATTATTATCCATTCTATCAACAGAATCACTATTTGATCTAAAAACCGACCGAAAAACTAGTACGTCATTGTGATTACGGTAATTATTACAATCAATATCGAGCAAAGCTAAGTCATGGAATCTTCTCCTGGAGTATACCTCTAGGAGAAATAGAACAGCTGTTTGTCTCTACACTTGAAAGATTATTAATACGTTTACTGTGTAAGAATCTAGCTAGATCCTTTATGACCCAAACAGGGGGATTGACATGGTCAATCACCGTTTACAACATGTTTTACATACTTACATTTGAGATTAATTGACTAACTGATGTGTTATTTCATAAGTTAGATTAATGTGACTGATTGTATAGTTTTTAGCAATAAATGCTAAAGGACATATGGTTCTGGTTAACAAAGGACAGTAACCACAGATTTTGATTGTACAAAATTTAATTGTACGACAAATTATTGATTCAATAGAGATCAGATATAGATAAAAATGTAGTCAAAAACTTTGCTATAGGAGCGGAGGGGTTCCCCCCCCCCTCCGGTGCGGTGCAACCTTTTGAGGACTGCACTATAGATTTAACGTATTGACGGACGCCATGACTTCTTAAGAGATTTTAGTTGTGTAGAGTATCATTTTAATAGTATTCCAGACGGCCCGCGTTTCCACTCTTCCAAGGTCATGTCGTAGACGCTCGGTGGTGGCCGCCTTGTTCTTAATTAGGACTTTGTCTATGTGATAAAGCGTAAAGAAACGGGGTACTACCTACGGCAAGCGAGACACGCCAAAAACTCGCTCTCATTTAGGAACTACTAGTAGGTACGTTCTCTGTGCCTGATTGAGATAATCCAGGACCTAAGAAATCAAAAAAGCTGGAAAGAACACCCCCGCTGGGTTTTACAACGTTGCCATATGTGGGAAAATGCGTCACAAAACAGGGCTTGTCCGTAGTTTTGATATAAGGGCACGTAATTGTCATTACATGTACTCGGTATGACGCAAATAAGTTGATCAGTGGAACTCCGCATATGAAGACCGTTTTGTTCGTGCATTCTGCAGACAGATGCTCTCTAAAGTTTCACAAAACCTCAACAGATGATCTTCCTGGGCATTAAATATCTGGTACATGAAATACGTGTATGTTAACGCATATGAACGTATAATGGGAAACT